GCCACTAAAAGGTTGTAACTCTACACCCCAAAAATCCCCCAAGCAAAATTTTGCGGGGTGGGGAATTCGGGGAGTTGAAGTCCACATGTCTTACAGTGGCCAAGGTTGAGAAACCCTGCTCTAAAGTAATAGCATTGTGCAAACCAGCTAGGGGTTACCCGCATTCACGAAACACCTAATTCCCTTTTTTTTCGGGTTTGCACAATGCATTGACTAATTAAACAAGACGAGGGGACAACCTACACTCCCCACCACCCTGCAGTCAGGGTTAGCACTAACCAAGCTTAGTGATTTGCCCGACCTAAGTTAACCAAGCTGTGTGAATGAGTCAGAGGGAGAGGGTCAAACTCTTCCCATTATCTAAGTGGATTGTTGCCTGATGGGACAAGGCTGGATATAAATCCATACATTTCCAAACGTGTATTAGACGCAATCGCTTTGCAGCCGAATCTCAGGTTCATACAGCAGAGGGAAGATGCAGATTTGGTTAATTTCTGGCAGGCCTTTCCAAATGCGAAAGCATCTGAACTTTCAACGTGCTCTTAATCTTGCAGGGCATCCCTGAGCCCAGAACAGTCTATCTTAATAGTTAAAAGTGCCTGCATTCTAACTCTGAAAACTGAAAAAGGATAGCTGGAGATTGCCGGTCTTCCAAATTGAAAGACAGATCTGAATCTTCCGGTACATCTAAGTGATTTGCGATAGCATGCCAAGAGCTTGCAAGCAAGTTTCCAAAATTACAAGAAATGATTTTGCACTAGTGAGTGTTTAGCTAATTGCTTATCCCTCAGACTCGGTGTTCCACACCTGTAAAATGGGTACAGGATCTGCTGCTTTGGCCACATCTCTGTTCAGTTCTGCTGTCTGGTTTGATATCTAGTACACCTTGGATCGATCCCCCTGTGTGGTTTGGAAAGTGAAGGAGAGATGGATTCTGCTCAGAAGCCACCGGTTCCTCCTGGCTGTTAGTCCTCAGTGGTCCAGTAACACCCAAAATTTATCTTGCCAGCTGGAGCTCTGCCCACCCCTGACTGAATTTACCTCTTCTGCCCATCCACAAAGCCCCTGAATGGTCTTAATGGCACTGTGCAGGATAGTCACTAGTTCCCCAAATACTACAAGCACCAACATCTTCCATCTCCACCCCTTTTTAAGAAGATTCCCAGCAGGGCAAACTTCATGCAAAGATTCCCAGCAAGACAAAGTCATGCGATGTGGTCGATTAATGAAGCATCCAGGTTGGGAAGCAGTTTATCTCAGAGGATAAGCCTGCTTCCTTCCAGCTCTGCAGAGGAGGTTTCTAGAAAGATACTGCGGGCAAAACAAAAGAGTAGGAGTCGGAATCTGCCCTCCCCACCAGCTTTCCATGAGTCTCCGCCAGCCCCTACCTTCATCTCTAAATATTTCTACCCGTCTTCAGCCATGCCCAGGGACTGTTATGGAGATATTTAGATTTTGCTTGCAAAACTGGCCCGGAGCCATGGCTGGCATCTTGCCTGTTGCCAATAAGCCCATTTTTGTCCTCTGTTCTCTTAATGGTCTCCCTGTAATTAATCCCACACTCTTCCCCTGAGCCCCCCACTCTGTTTTCAAGGCAGGCGATCCACCTCCAAAAGGCCTTGAAGCCCCCGCCCCGATCCTCTGCTGGGTCTTTCCTTTGGAGAAAGCAAGAGGGGTTTTACATTTTAATTCTTCTTCCTTCTTCCCCCTTGCTGGTGTTTTTCTCCCCATCCAGCCTGTCCCAAATTCACAGCTTCCCAGCTGAGGGACGGCTGCGATGCGGGGGCGATGGTGTCAGGTTCCGGCCCATTGATCGCTGCAGCAGGCGAGGAAAAAAGATCTTCCCACATAGGAGAAAAGGTTGGGGGGAAGGCGAGGGAAGGATCATGAAACACCTTTACTATTATCCCAGGATGTCATGGACAGCTGATATTCGTCATCCCTTCCTTCCTTCCTTCCTTCCTTCCTTCCTTCCTTCCTTCCTTCCTTCCTTCCTT